TTTTTTTTTTTTTTTTTTTTATTTATTTTTTAATAGCGCAAAAAATACAAAATGCACAGACGATTAGATACCACCGAAAGAAAGCTCAATTTGTGGGAAAAAAGAACGTAAATTTCATTTGGTTGCATAATTGTCAGTTAAAGTAACGCAGCACCGTAACGCAAAAAATGGCCTGGTCAGGAAGGGGGATAAAGCCTCAGGAGGGCAAGTGGCTAATTTTATTCATATCCCTTCAGTTAAAATTAAAAAAAAAAAAAAAAAAAAGGCCTACAGGAAATAAGCCTGATTTATGTAATGCAGCGGATGTCAATCACCAGGTCCCGGCTGGCGATTCTCGGCTGGCACTCAGTGATTGCCGCTAAAGCTGAGAGGGGAGAGATCTGTAAGCAACACAGATCTTTCTCCAGTCAGCGTGGACATGCTGCTTCTCTCTCTCTGCACAGCAGAGAAAGAGAAAGCAGCATGTCTCCCTACTAAACAGCACACAGTGTAAGCACAGCACAACACAACACACAGTTAACCCTTTAATTGCCCCAGATGTTAACTCCTTAGCTGCCCAGTGTCATTAATACAGTGTCCGTGCTTTTTATTAGCGGAGATGTCCGTGGCCATTAGCTCCTAGCCAGTGTCAGAATGCCTGACCAGTCCCGCTATAAGTCGCTTATTGCCATCATTACTAGTATAAAAAAAAAAAATTCCAGTTTATATACTGCCATTTGTAGACACTATAACTTTCAGGTAAACCAATTAATTTACATGTATCGCTTCTCGGCCTTTTGGCTAAGATCAAGTGTAGTATCTGTTCTTATCAGTGTCCAGTGGGGGTGCTCCCGACCATTCTAGTTTACGGGGATGGTTGTTGTATAGTACCCTCACTGGTATGATGGGGGTCCGGAAGGCTAGTACCGGAGGGACAGAAACCAGGGAGCGCCATGATTCGTTCTGGGGCCTTGGGAGTAATTCCTCTGGGAAGACTGGAAAGACCCAGTACCTCCTGATCTGAGCAGGCTACCTTGGTCTGGCCAGGGGCTGGGGAGGCAAAAAGTCCGCAAACTCAGTGCCCCCTGAGGAGACGCGCTCAGGGGTGTCACTAGTAACACTTGGGTGTGGGACCCCACGGTGTGAAAATGACACTTGGTCACTGTTTTTACACATCTTTTTGCACAGTGCCCTAAGGACCAGGCCTTTTGGCTAAGTCCAGGGCAATTTTTGCTACGGGCCTCAGGGCCTGGTCTGTGCACATTTCGGCACGGTACCATTTTTATTATTTTCTTACTTTTCTTATTTATTTATTTATTATCACTCCCACGTTTGTCACTTTTTCTTTGCCTTATGTGTGTGTTTTCACGGATGGAGGGTGTGGGTCCTCGGGCCTACCCTGAAGTCTAGGGGGAGGATGTGTGGCCATACGGTTCCTTCCTCCCCTGATCCCTAGAGGACTCTTCTTCGGGAGAGTCCCCTTGCCTAGTACTGAATGTCCGGCTTCGGCTTGGCATAGGGAACGGTGGTCCACCAGGCCTTTTGGCCAGGAGGACCAAGTGGGAACCTAGTCCCCGTCAGGAGCTTCGTGCCCCGGGGGATCAGGGACAGCGGTCCAAGCCCCTTTAGGGGTAGGACACAGCACACCCCTAAGTGCACGTTTTTTCGTGTGGTGTTTTGCACTTGCACTTTTTTGAGGACACTTATGGGTTTTTTCGATATAGTTGCACGTTTGCGGACTTAAAAACAAAAAAAAAAAAAAAAAATTAATTTACATGTATTAGGATTTTTTTTTTTTAGCAAAGGCATGTAGCAGAATACATTTGGCCCTAAATTTATGAATTTTTTTTTTTTTTAATTTCTTTCATTGGATATGTTTTCTAGCAAAAAGTCAAAATTTACAGTCTTTTATTGTTTATAGCGCAAAAAATAAAACATATAGAGATGATCAAATGAATAATAGGTCCACCTGCGCTGCTAAACCTAACAATATATAAGGAAACAGCTGCCAACATCCAATCCTCACCTTTTAAATGGACATATAGGTATACAAACAATCAATGGTGATGCAGCGCTGATATAATTAGCAATAAAGTGTATATTAACCGTGAGAGAAAAGTGAATTCGGTGTTATACAGCCCGCACAAACACGGCACACAGTAATTTCTTCTATAACATATAATTGCTATTTAGCAGATATAAATGCAGTCCACAGTATATATAGATGAATAAATGTGTTCTTAGAAGACACACATGCTTCTGTGCTGGTGCAAAGTGGTAGGTGACAATCCTTAAATGGCTAGCATGCCTGCTCACCTTCCCCCTGCGACCCACAGGGGCCAAAAAGCCTGTCGGGTCACACCTTGACCCTATGCGTTATCTCCAGGTGAAAGACACTCTCCACTCTCCAGTACTCTCTCCTTCACCATCTGCTATTCCCCCTGAATAGGTACCGATTTAAGCAGATGGAAAAACGCTTGTGACACCTCTCATGGGTGTACTGAGGCACTCTGGTGTAGCAAGATGGCGCCAACCCGGAAGTGCGTCACCGCGTCACTACGTCACATCTACGCGTTACGCCACGCCCCTCGTAGCTTCCTGACGAAGCTACGAGGGGCGTGGCGTAACGCGTAGATGTGACGTAGTGACGCGGTGACGCACTTCCGGGTTGGCGCCATCTTGCTACACCAGAGTGCCTCAGTACACCCATGAGAGGTGTCACAAGCGTTTTTCCATCTGCTTAAATCGGTACCTATTCAGGGGGAATAGCAGATGGTGAAGGAGAGAGTACTGGAGAGTGGAGAGTGTCTTTCACCTGGAGATAACGCATAGGGTCAAGGTGTGACCCGACAGGCTTTTTGGCCCCTGTGGGTCGCAGGGGGAAGGTGAGCAGGCATGCTAGCCATTTAAGGATTGTCACCTACCACTTTGCACCAGCACAGAAGCATGTGTGTCTTCTAAGAACACATTTATTCATCTATATATACTGTGGACTGCATTTATATCTGCTAAATAGCAATTATATGTTATAGAAGAAATTACTGTGTGCCGTGTTTGTGCGGGCTGTATAACACCGAATTCACTTTTCTCTCACGGTTAATATACACTTTATTGCTAATTATATCAGCGCTGCATCACCATTGATTGTTTGTAGAGATGATCAAATACCACCGAAAGAAAGCTCTATTTGTGGTGGGAATATTGACATAAATGTAATTTATGTACATGTTGCATGAACGCGCAATTGTCAGTTAAAGTAACGCAGTGCCGTATCACAAAAAATGGCCTGGTCAGGAAGGGGGGTAAATCCTCTGGAGGGCAAGTGGTTAATAGATATGGTTTAAAAACACAGATTTACTATCAATAGGGTGGAGACAGGAAAATGTATCTTAGTGTGGCCCATTTACATAGGAAACTACCTCTTACTGTACATTGCAATCCTCTGCTGATCTGCAGAAAAATTACAATAGACCTTTTTTTTCTGTTACATAAACAAACATGAATAGTATTTTGAATTCATTGTGGGTAAATGATTTTCTGTACTCCCCCTTTTGTAGCTGCCAGTGGGGTGGGGGGGTAGTGAGTACTCTGGAGCTGCTGACATCACATGCTGTAAAGTCTTCATGCTTGTATTTTTATTTCCATACACAATTGTATCATTCTGTTATTGTTCCTTTTTTGTTGCAATAAAAATGTTGCAGCAGTACACCCTGAATTTTTGGTTTCAGTATCAGAATTTGCATTTTGGTGCACCACTACATAAAACCTCCAGCGTGTGTGCAAGGGGACAGGGTCAATATGTAATGTCAATGGGTGACCATGCCTCTTTGTTTACTTTTGCGGCAGGTCCAATGACAGCTCCTTCTCAGAGCTATAAAGTGAAGGAAAAAAAAAGCTGGCAATTGCTTTTAAAAACTGGCAATGACATTTAGCGGGGGCAAGTGAGGGAGCCTGTCTGTATGCACTGCTCCCTCACTGTATACACTACTTAACTGCTTTCCTACCTTTCTCTGCCTCCCTCTCCCCCATCTGCAGTACACACAGCCCTCCAAACCCCCTGGCCAAATAGTCAGTACACCCCTCGGGCCTCAATTATCGACACCTGTATCTGCTCACTTTTTCCTGCCCTCAATCAAATACAGTGATTGGGGATGGGGTCGAGCCGCACTGTGTGTGTGTTTAGTGGGCACACAGAGCACGGTTCAGGGTCATGCCCGAACGTGTGCTGCTGTAGGAAGCGGCTTCCTATGGTGGCAGAAGGAGAAGAGGAGCCCAGAGTACCGATGGGGGACGGGGGACCCCAGAAAGGGAGGATCTGGGCTGCTCTGTGCAAATCATTGCACAGAACAGGTAAGTAGAAAACGTTTTTTTGTTTTGTTCTTTTGTTTTTTCCTTTTTTTTTTTTTGGTGAATAAACTTTACAATCACTGTAAACAATGGTTGGCATTTTTAACGTTTTTTTTTTTTTTTCATTCTGTTATTTTCAATTTTAGTTCAGGTTAAATAAGTTCACCTTTTGGACAGGTAAAAAAATGTGTATTTATTCTTTTTGTCCAAAGGAGCCTGGAAAACATTGCACCAACGATCAGTAGATCGCTGATGCCATACAGACGTGTCAGAATATCTGCTTGCCATATGGGTTGTACGGTCAAGCAGATATTCTGACAGAAAGCTTCAATGAACTACCACGGCGCTCCACTGTGCTGTTGTTGTAGTTCATTGAAAACTACAAGTCCACAGCCGCTAAGGCTGTCGGGACTTGCAGTTCATCCATTCATGGAAGTCTGCATGGGCGGAGCCCCGCACAACCGCTCTGTTTTCAAATCTGACAGGTAGTATGGGGAGAAGTTTCCCCGTACTAGCTGTCAGAGGGAGGGACGGGTGGGCGTGGCTAAAAACAGGTGGAACATGTAACATTTTCCCAAAGGTGAACTTGTCCTTTAAGTCTTGTGCTGGTTCAGTATACTAATGTGTATGTGTTAACACTATTAATGCTGCATTCAATGTTTTACAGTGGCAAAATGACAACAGAGAAGAGTTTAGTGGCTGAGGCAGAAAACCCCCCTAAGGACCAAAAACAAGAAGGAAAGGGACAGGAGGAGGCTGGGGCTTGCAAAACAAATTCTGAGGAACCAAATACTGAGGACAAACAGGACACTGAGCAAACACCAGGTACCCCTTCTACTGCATCTCCAAGTACCCGCAAAAGTAAGGAGAGAAGTTCTGAAGGAAAGGGCCTATCTCGAATCTTCTCATCATTACTGAAGAAGAAATCTCAGGTGACTGAAGAAGGAAAAGACAGTAAACAGCCAGGTGAGAAGGCTGACGGAGACCAGAAGGAAGTGGATGAAGGTTTAGGGGAGCAGCTGGAAGATGAAGTTTTTCTGAAGGCCCCTATTGCAGCTCCAGAACCAGAACTTAGAACTGATCCATCTTTGGATCTCCATTCCCTAAGCAGTGCAGAAACCCAGGTAAGGAGCTTTTTTAAAGACACATATTTGGTAAACGCTAACTTGAAAAGTTGATTTTGGTTTTATAAAGCCCCAGCAGTTTGTATACAACTGTACATACACATCTGAAGATGTTTTAGTTTTGTACGAGTGTCAGCATGTTAGAACTGCAATGCTAGTGTGGTGAAAACTAGACGATTGAGCTGCAGTTTAGTATGTCAGTACAGTCTTGTCTTGCAGCTTTCTGGCTTTTTCATTTTAACTTAGATACCCCCCCCCCCCAAAATGTAGGTGCCAGAGATATATATATATATATATATATATATCTGGTTTTTTTTAAGGTCCTTTGACTACACTTTTTGTGATTTATCCAGTTGTTATTCACTAGATAGATGTTGGTCTTTTGCACTGTGCATGCTCTTCTTCATCAGTCATCTTTTTTGGTGGGTTATTTTAGCCTGCTCAAGAAGACAGAAAGGACGATCAAGACCAAGACGTGGATCTTGAGGACAGGGAGGCACCTTCTAAAGGTAATAAGGAACGAGAGTCTGGAAAAGCTGATGCAGAAGTAAAGAGCCCACAGAAAGTGGCCAAGAAATCACCCAACATGCGCTGCAAGGTTTCTCTCCTTGATGACACTGTTTATGAGTGTGAGCTGGAGGTAAGTGATATGGCTCTTGGAATTTAATTAATAAATACGTTTTATCATCTATAATCATTATAACTGCGCTATTATTTACAAGGAAAGTAGGAGCCAAATGGAATCATATGGAAGGTCAATATATTGCATTTCTTGTATTTTCATGTTATCTTACTGTTTAAGAAAGTTTAAAATGTGTTTGTAGTTATCTCCATCTTTAATTCATTGCACTGTTCAGTGACACCATATGCAGCTTTTGCCATGTGGAGAGTTACTTTATTTTCTTACAAAACAACCCCCCCCCCCCCCAATTGGTTGCTCATTGAGCTGCAGGGAGTGCTTTCTGGATGACCATTGGAGGGGAAGGCTGTCTCTGGAAGTCATAGCAGGGGACTGCTTTCTATGGAAGAAGGGTTGGTGAGGGATTTACAGAGGGGGGGAACACTGATTGTGGGGATGGCACATAGAAAGGGAGTAGTGTTAGGAGAGGAGTACTGTCAGGAGAGAAGCAGTATCTCCAGAGGAGTTTGGTGTTTGTAGGGTACAGGGTAGGAGTGCTGTGTCAAATGACAAATTGATTGTGAAGGGATGCTATGGAATTTTGTGTTCGAGGGTGTCCACAGAACAGAAGCAAGGCATATCAATGTCTCTACAGCCCTATTTTGGGAGCTTACTTACTACATGCTTCCAAAATATTTGAAATATTTGATAGGCAGATGTAAGCTCAATACGCTGTAAAATGAATGTCTGCTTCCACCATTTTGGAGAAGTCAATGCACATGCTGAAGATATAGGTGTGTCTACTGTGCAGCAGCACATGTGGCTAGTGGTAAAGGTGTCAGACCGTAAATTTGTTTCTACGGTCTGACATACTTTTTCATATAAAGGATTTAATTCAACTGATGGTTTAACCCCTTCCCACCAACTGTGCGCATGTATGTGGCCTCACGGAAGTGGGTCTTTTTCTGTGGGGCCACATATATGCTTACCTCTTTGTGCTGGGAGCGTGCCACACAGCGTGCTCCCAGCACAGAGATCATGCTGTCATCGAGAGCCCCGCGTCTCGTACTAATGATTCCTAGCTCCAGGTCACCTGATCACTGTGATTTGTAATGGTCATGTGTACTAGGCATACGAATAGCTGTGTGTGTAGCATCCAATTTCACAGATCTCTTATGCCATTTCTTAATGAGAAAGCATTGCACAGTGACCACCTCCCCCTTCCATCCTTCCATCCTTCAGTTTATACAATACACAAACTGCTAACTTGTTAGGAGCTTGTTATCAATCTATTGCTTAGACGCCCAGACCTCTACGTTATCCAATCCACAATTTCAGCCTGGAAACCCTAATAAAATGGTCACCCTCCAAGCTTGAGCAATCCAGAGCACTAACAGATATCTGGTTGTAAATAGCTCAACTGAAGGGAATAGCCAGTCCACATTTCTGCTAGAATGGCTAGCAGCCTTCACTTTAATTTGACATAACTTGTGAAATGACAGCACAGCCAGAATATAGACATATTCACCTTCCTCAGTTATTGGGTAGCATTTTTAACCTAAAACACCCCTATGCTAGGAGGTACCAGAATGGATTAGGCCTCCACACCCCTCCTATGAGAAATAAATATCCAAAACCTGTCATATCTATATCCATTTTGAAGCTAATTTCATGGTGCACAATAATCTGCATGATAGCAGACTGTAAATGGTAGGTATTCAGAAAAAATGAATACTTCTAAGAAACTGTATTTGGGACTTGGTCATAAACGTAGTGACCTCCCAGAACCCAGATATGTGTTTGGATCATTGTCATGTTGGAAAAATGTATGACGACCAAGGGTACAGAGTGTTTGTTTGTAGCATCTTCTCTTTCAATATAGAGCAGTACATCTGTGAATTCATGATATCAGCAATGAAATGCAGCTCCCTGACACCAATAGCACTCATGCAGCCCAACAGAAGGACACTGCCAAAACCATGTCTCGCTGTAGGCACTATGTATTTTATTTTGTACACCTCAGCTTTGTGATGCCCTACAGTTTTGAAGCCATCAAATCCAAAAACATTTATCTTGGTCTCATCACTCCAGAGTAAAGTGTCCTGTAAAAAACAACAAAAAAATCAGAATGCGCTTATATCATATATCGTGAAGAAATGTGCAAAAGCTATAAGTATATATTGTAAAAGAGAGAAACCCCAGTGAATCTCTTCATAAATTATTCATATACAAAAGTCCAAAAGTCCAAAATCCCAAATTATTTCTTCTTAAACCAAATAAATCCACCGTGCTCAATCCACCACCAGATGAATGGAATAAACTCACCAGAGCTAGATGCTGATCAAATTATAAATCAGCACAAGCGTATTTGCTCTGGGAGCGATGAGAAAATCCAAGGAAGCACCCTTCTGTAATTAGAAATCCAGACACCAGGAGCAATGCTCTGCAACCACTCTACGATAGGGCCAGGACTTTTTATACAGCGATCATCCTCCAAATAAATGGTAGTATCACTCCGAAATAAAGGAAAGGCATGATGGTGCAGTACGTAAAAACTATGTATGTTTATTTAAAAATTCATATTACTTACAAAGCAAGTGTCCACCTGACACTGGTATAACAAGCGGTAGAAATATAAGAAGCATATAGCGAACGAACTCCGTTCACCGCGGACACCTCGCCGACAGTTGCCGGGAACGTCCTGACGTCATCCAATAGGCTCCGCCCTACGCGTTTCGTCACACTGACGTCCTCACGGAGCGGTGAACGGAGTTCGTTCGCTATATGCTTCTTATATTTCTACCGCTTGTTATACCAGTGTCAGGTGGACACTTGCTTTGTGAGTAATATGAATTTTTAAATAAACATACATAGTTTTTACGTACTGCACCATCATGCCTTTCCTTTATTTCGGAGTGATACTACCATTTATTTGGAGGATGATCGCTGTATAAAAAGTCCTGGCCCTATCGTAGAGTGGTTGCAGAGCATTGCTCCTGGTGTCTGGATTTCTAATTACAGAAGGGTGCTTCCTTGGATTTTCTCATCGCTCCCAGAGCAAATACGCTTGTGCTGATTTATAATTTGATCAGCATCTAGCTCTGGTGAGTTTATTCCATTCATCTGGTGGTGGATTGAGCACGGTGGATTTATTTGGTTTAAGAAGAAATAATTTGGGATTTTGGACTTTTGGACTTTTGTATATGAATAATTTATGAAGAGATTCACTGGGGTTTCTCTCTTTTACAATATATACTTATAGCTTTTGCACATTTCTTCACGATATATGATATAAGCGCATTCTGATTTTTTTGTTGTTTTTTATTTTTCACCAATATTTTGGGTTAGAAGTTTGCAGCTTTTTTATAGAATTATTATTGTTGATTGGCGCTTTCTGTTTGTTATTTTTTGTAAAGTGTCCTGTAGTCTTCTTTTTCAGCATGGGCCCTGGCAAATTCTAGGCGGGCTTTTTTGTGCATGGACTTTAGGAGAGGCTTCCTTCGTGGATGACACCCATGCGTGGAATTCCTCTGCACTGTACGCCATATTGTGTCATGGGAAACCATCACCTCAGTTTGGCTTTCTACTTCTTTAGCTAACTGCAGTGAACTTGCATGGCAATATTCTTCAACCCTTCTCATCAGAAGATGCTCCTGTTAAGGTGTTAATTTCTGTGGGTGGCCTGGACGTCTCGGTTCCATCTTTGTTAAATGTTTGTACCACTTTTGCTACATTATTCTGACTAATAAGTAAAGCTTAAAGTAAAGTTCTTCTTGTAGCCTTCACCTTTGTTGTGTAAAGAAATGATTTTCTTAGGCCTTGTGACATTTCTCTTCCATGTGGTGCCATTGCTGACAGCATGAAATGGGCATTTGGAGTATTTTGTAGTATAGTGTCCCATAGAAAATATTGATTTTGAAAGGAAATTTAATTTTTTCTGACAAATCTGTTGGGGTGTATTCATTTATGCTGAGCACTGTATGTGGTATCACTGCTATCGTCAGGAGCAGGATAATTAATTTTGTTCTTTGGTGGTAAATTCTGGTTATAGCAAAAGTTATTAATTTACATTTTTTAAAGATTTTCTTTTACCAAAAAATCAGGAGATTTCCATTACCATTTACCTCTAAAAGAAAGCCCAATGTATCCTGAAAAAAACAGGTATAATCCACCTGGATACAGAAAGTAGTTGTGACTACATGTATGATTTTACTAATGCATGTCAAAGTTGCAAAATTGTGCTTAGGCATTAACATTTGTTTTACCCTTAGCCAAGAAGGGTTTAATAAGAGGTAGTGAATAATAAATATATCAGTTCTGCAACAAAAGTGATTATCTATTTACAGTGTTTATCACTGATATACATATTGTCAGCATTGACAAGTGGCTATGTCATGTCTTTTGTTGACAAACTTTACCTAAAAAAATTTTACATACATTTGGCCAGGGTGTATTTGATTTAAATCCACTAGTGAAAAGGCTTGATTTAAACCATAATTTTTAACCCCTTCACGCCGGCGCCTTCCGGCCCTTTAAGAGTTTCAGGAGGCGGGGCGGGGTTTAGGGACATGTGACCGTCGTGCTGCACCATCACGGCGGTCACATGCTCGGGAAAGGTCCCGATCGAAAGAGGAAACCGGGACCTTTCCATGAGTACCGGACATGTGTGCTGGGAGCGCGCAGGGCGCGCGCTCTTGGCACATATGTCCTTTTTTAATAGAAGGCTGGGAGGCAGCACATTTGCGTTCGGCCGGCGCGAAGAGGTTAAAGAGCAACTGTCATCTCTGTCCTGCAGCGGCTTCTCCTGACCCGCTGTTGACTCACTTTAATGGGACAGCTGGTGATATGGCAGTAACACAACAAGGTGAGGGATGTGGCGGCAGCAGGTGAGTGGATGCTCGCTAACAGGCGCTGAAATGATGGATCTAAAATGACAGGTGCTCTTTAAATGTAATGTTTTTTGCTGGTAGTTAGAATATTTATTTGCAAACCAAATGAAGGTTTCCTTTTTAGAAAAACAA